GCAGGCGCCGCTTCCTGTGGCCGCCGCCCGCGCTGGCCGGGACTGGTGGGCAGGCCTGCGACGCCTCCGGAGCTGGCGGCCCCCGCCCTAAGTCCTGGCCCCACTGGGGTGCCTGGGCTTGGGGGCCTACAGCAGGAGGCCCATGGGCATGGCAGAGGAGGGAGGTGGGCCGGTACACCGGGGGTGGGGGGGGTGGGGGGAGCAGGCCTGGGGCCTCAGCCTGAGCCACCCCCAGCAGGCCCCTGGGTCAGTGCCCAGCCCACCCGGGAGTGACAGCAAGTGGCAGCTCAGCTGGTGGTGCCAGGGTCACCTGTCGTGCCCCAAGGCTGGCTCCCTGGCTCCCTGCCCAGCCAGGTGGGCAGGGCGGGGCTCCCTCTCCCCCCACCCCCCAGCACACGCACTGGGGCCTTAACTCCAGGCCTGCGTCCTCCTCTCCTGGTGGCACTGGCCCCTGCCCAAGACAGGTCTTTGGCCACTGTAGCCCAGGAACCAGGCCCTCCCAGGTGGCTGCCCTGCGGGCCTTTCCCTGGATGGCCGGTCCTGTCTGGCTGCCCCTACTGAGGGCCTGGCCAGGCTCAGCCCCAGGGTCAGGTCAGCTGGGCACATTGGAGGAGGGGCACGCGCCCCAGCTCAGCTCAGGCTGTATGCTAAGGCCAGCCGCCCGGGGTCGCCCGGGGTTTGGGTGCCCCAGATGCCAGCAGGTGCCCTGGAGGGCAGGCAGCTGGGCTGCCTGTGCAAGGGTGCCCCGTTCCTCCAAGCTGGTCCTGCTTCCCAGGAGCCAGTACCTGCACAGGCTCTGGGGTCCTCGGACCCCTGGGGCCAGCAGTGGGGTTAAGACCCCTGTGGTCCTCAAGGGGGCCAGGTGCTCCCCCACTCTCACACCTGGCCCTCACTGGCTGCCACTTGCTCTGCCTCTCTCTGCCATCCTTGGGGGTCCTTACCGACAGGGGTTCAGGAATCTGGGGTCACCTGGCTCCATAGACACTCCTACCCTCCACCCATGATGAGAGCTGACCACAGGCTACCTCTGCTCTGGGGACCCCAGAACTCGGGGACGGGGCAGCAATGCCACCGCTCTGCCATCGGATTCCAGGCCCAGGTGGGGTGGGGGTTGCGGCAGCAGCCTCCGAATTCTAGGGGGCCCGGGCCTGCCCAGTGGATTTCAGAACTGCTGCCTCCAGTTGTGCTAGTGTGGGGGGCTGGAAGCCCTAGGGGTCTCCAGCCTCACTGCATGTGGCTGTGCGTGTGCCCTGAGTGCATGTGCGTGGCCAGTGCAGTGCCTGCGGGTGCCGCGTCTCACGGGGCAAGCGTGTGTGCCTGTAGCACGTGTGCACCTCAACGCATTGCTG